AATTCTGCCAGGCCATGGCAAAGTGAAATGTCTCTGGGATTTGGGCTTCTGTGGCATGATTTCCAGCTATTCTGGTGACACCTCTGATCCCGGGGTTCTCTGGCCAGATGCCTGCTTTCTTCATTTGAATCGCCAAATCTCGCGCAGCTAGGGTGACGCTGCGTTTCAGGCGCGCGAGACTTCCGACGGTTGCCTAGCGACTGCGTGGACACTAGTACTAGGCGGATCAAGTCCATAACTGTTGGCGTGTTACTTAGAGGGCAGACATGCACACGCCAAGGGGCTCTCTGATCCCTCGAGAAGTGGAGACTCCGAAGGAGTTGCAACTGCGGGTGACTCCGGTGGAGGTGAAGTTTCAGGACACGATGGCGGGGAAGGTGTACCGCCAATCAATTACTGTCCACAATGTGGGCCGCAGCAACCAGAAGATCCGGTTTCTGGAGCCAGCCAAGCCACAGGTAACACACCCAGGAGTGCTCTGAACAGGACCTTGGGAGGACTGGACTGAGACTGCCTCCTCACTTGGGCACCTGCTTTGTCCTGGGGAGTGAGTAGGCACCTGGCTCCTATAGGAATAGGGAGCAGGATTGGGCTTCCTAGGGAGCGGTGATTTAGGTTTCTCTATGTATTTGCGCTCGCATTTGTTTGTTTGTTTGTTTGTTTATCCATTTACTGAGGGTTGGGACCCAGAATGGGGAAATTTGATGTAGAACCAATTTCTTCATTCTGGACTTGGAAAGAAGGGAAGGGGGTTCCATGTCTGTCGCTGCTTAGCCCAGAATCTATGCCTCATAATACTGTAGAATTATGACGACAAACCATTGAACCATAAAGTGCCTGACTACTCCAAATATTATAGGATAGTGGGAAGGTTTATTATTCACATTTTAAGAAATATTTGTTGAGCACCTACTATAAAATAGACAGTAGGTGTGTGGAATGCAAGATGGACATAGCCCTGCCCTCAGAGGACTTAGAAACTCACAGGGTGTCAATAAAGGTCTAATCATTAGCAAAATAAATGTTCTGAGAGGCTGTCCCCATCTTTTGACCTAAAAGTTGACCGAATTTCTTCTCTATCTCACTGTTATTTTAGAGCATGAGGATAAATGGATGGTTATTAGTTTACTGTGATCACCCACTATCAGGGATACTTTTGATATAGGAAAGGTGAATAAGAATTTTTGATATGTAAGTGATAAATAACTGATTTTTTCACGGGATATTCCTAATGGTTAATAGTATTGAATTCAGCTGGACTTATATGTACAGAAATGGAAAGGTATCTGATTTTGTTGTTAAACTTACATGTATTTGTTTGCATATACATAGAAAAGTGTACCACAGTGATTAGGAGGGCCATGAGAAACAGGACTTTCATGGTCTACCTTTTACACTTTTAAAACATTGATGTACTCTTTATCTACACTAAAGTGCCCAAATCTTGAAAGTAAGTCCTGATGAATTTATATATATGTATATGCCCATGTAGCTCCCACTTGGATCAAATCATAAAATATTTCTAATACAATAGATGGTTTCCAACAGTACCTGGAGTAATCACCCCATGGAGATGACCACTATACTGATTTCTAACACCATAGATTAGTTTTGCCTGTTCTTGAGTTTCATATAAATGAAATCACGCATTCTTCATTTTTGCATTTTGCATGTTTTAATAGTAGTAATCTGTTTTATTTTGTAATAGGACATCACAAGCGACTATTAGTTGCTCATTAAATAAAAAAGAACCTGATTCCTCCCAATACTATATAATTAGGGGGAAAGTTTATTATTTCACTACCTTATTAATTATTTCACTTACCTTATTACATATTTATTGAACAATTGAATGTATATCTGAAAATACTTTCTTTTAAACCTCAAGCTGGCAGTAATCCCAGATGTGGGCGAACACTATTTTATGGATGTCTCCTGGTTTTTATGCAGATAGAACAATGACATCGTTTATTTTCTTTTGGTTTGTATTTATAATTAAAAAGAAAAACTATTTAGGCCACAGGTCTTGTCATTAACAGCAGAATGGTCAGAAAGGCTTACCTAGTTAGAGGCCAAAGCTATGAGCCCATTACATTGTGAATTTATCTTTGTTACGGGATTATGATATGCATTCCAGATCCTTCATAGGTATAATTGGAAATGAGGAAGAGGTAGATTAGCAAAAAATGCATTCACTATCTTGGAGGTTAAAAGAAAAATAAGCTTCTATGTAGAGAGCATTGTTATCACCATTATTATCATCATTAGAAAATGGTTCTAACACATGGTGGTACTTGTTTTCTACCCGGGCTCAAGATTGTGCATTGCAGCCGTGGGCAAACTACAGCCCGCGGGCCGGATCCGGCCCGTTTGAAATGAATAAAACTAAAAAGAAAAAAGACCGTACCCTTTTATGTAATGATGTTTACTTTGAATTTATATTAGTTCACACAAACACTCCATTCATGCTTTTGTTCCGGCCCTCCAGTCCAGTTTAAGAACCCATTGTGGCCCTCGAGTCAAAAAGTTTGCCCACCCCTCTATGTAGTGAGTACCTACTATGTGCCATATAAAGTGCTATATACCATTTACTTATATAGCCTAGGCCAACTGCACTTATTCCTAGCCCACAGTAATCATGTTCTCTTGAGGATTTTTATGATACTTATGAAATCTACATCACTCATATGATACTTAATTAGTCCCTGGCTTACATTATTTAACTTGCAAAGGGCATTTAGTGTGCTTCCTTAAAGAGATTATGCATTCATTAGAGGGACTCTGTCTAGTTGTGGGGAAAGAGCTTAAGTTTTAGAGGCAGATAGATGTGTGTTTTGAATCCTCACTGCCTGAGTGACTTTTAGACAGTCATTTCACTCTACAGCAGGGATCCTCAAACTTTTTAAACAGGGGGCCAGTTCACTGTCCCTCAGACCGTTGGAGGACCGGACTATAGTTTAAAAAAAAACTATGAACAAATTCCTATGCACACTGCACATATCTTATTTTGAAGTAAAAAAACAAATATTTGTATTTGCATGTGGCCCGCGGGCCGTAGTTTGAGGACCCCTGCTCTACAGGTTCCAGTTCCCTCATCCATTTGCTGGGAGCCATAATATCAGCCTTATAGGACTGTAGAAGTGCATTGAAATGTAGAATGCTTGATCTATTATAAGTGCTCAACAGATAGCAGTTCTCTGCCCCTTATTTTTTTTTAATGGAGTCTAGGAAATATTTAAAAAGGACAAAAGTGTTTTTTTCTCCTTTGGCGTATTTCTTTTTTACATTTCCTCCAAATTATGAAGTTGGAGTTCCCATGTGGAAAGTACTAGTATATAAGATTCTATATGTATGTGTGAATGTATATATGTATGCATGTGTATATATGTATACATGTATGTGTTATATATGCATACATGATTGAGCGACATTTTTATTAGATTGCTCTTCCTATTTTTCTATATTTAAGTACCTCTCAGCATTTACATATTTATCAATTAACTGCATTGCCAGTTTCAATTATCAAACTGTTAAAAGCATATTGGCAGGATCTAGAACAGCGGTTCTCAACCTGTGGGTCGCGACCCCTTTGTCGGTCAAACGACCCTCGTGCACATCAGATATTTACATTACGATTCATAACAGTAGCAACATTACAGGGATGAAGTAGCAACGAAAATAATTTTATGGTTGGGTCACAACATGACGAACTGTATTTAAAGGAACAGAAGGTTGAGAATCACTGATCTAGAATCTGAAAGGTATAAATATAGTCAGTAAGTCTTTCCCTTTAGGGCAGCAATATTACCTATCCTAACATATAAAAACTAAGGGTCTGTAATGACCGAAGGCTTGACCGACCAGAAGTCAGTCCTGCAGTCAGTACTGGGTTGCTGGGGCGAACCACTACTGACTACCGCTGCTGGGGGAGCAGCGACCCAGCACTGACTGCCGAGGGGGGGCTGTGGATCAGGCTCAGAGAGAGTCCTGAAGAGAGAGACAGGGTCTGATCCGAAGCCTCCGTGGCAGCTGTTGATTAGCCATTGCCTCTCTCTTTCTCTCTGGGCTTCGCCAGCAGCCGCACCTCTGTTTCTCTCTGGGCCTTTGCACGGGC